TCCAGCTCCCCCTCGCACACGCACAGAGAGAGACCCGGTCCAGCTCCAGCTACCCATTGCACACACAGATAGAGAGAATAGGTCCCGCGCCCCCTCGCACACACACAGATAGACTTCCTCCAGCTCCCCCTTGCACACGCAGAGAGAAAGACTACGTCCAACTTCCCCTCGCACAGAGAGAGAGAGAGACTAGGTCCAGCTCCCCCTCACAGAGGCAGAGAGAGAGAGACTAGGTCCAACTTCCCCACAGACACACACACACAGAGACAAGGCCAGTTCCCACTCACACACGCAGAGAGAGAGACTAGTTCCAGCTCCACCTTGCACACGCAGTGAGAGTGATTAGGACCAGCTCCCCCACGCACACGCAGATAAAGTTTCCAGGTCCATCTCCCCTCGCACACGCAGAGAGAGAGAGAGTAGGTCCAACTCCACCATGCACACGCAGAGAGAGAGAATACGTCCAGCTCCCCATCGCACATGCAGAGAGAGAGACTAGGTCCATCTCCCCCTCACAAACGGAGAGATAGAGACCAGGTCCAGCTCCCCCTCGCACACGGAGAGAGAGAGACCAAGTCGAGCTCCCCACGCAGAGAGAGAGACTTCCTCCAGCTCCCCCTCGCACACGCAGAGAAAGGGACCAGGTCCAGCTCCCCTCACACACGCAGAGAGAGAGACTAGGTCCAGCTCCCCCTCGCACACGCAGAGACAGAGATGAGATCCACTCCCCATCGCACAGAGAGAGAGAGACTAGGTCCAGCTCCCCCTCGCACACACAGAGACAGAGATGAGATCCACTCCCCATCGCACACACAGAGAGAGAGACTACCTCCATTGCTGTCTCTCTCACCCAGACACACACACACACACACTAGAGAGACTACCTCCATCTCAGTCTCTCTCACCCACCCACACACACAAAAACAGAGATACTGCCTCCATCTCTCTCACACACACTCAGACAACTCTCTTTCTCACCCAGACAGACACACACAGACTGCCTCCATCCCTGTCTCTCTCACCCACACACCCACACACGACCTATATCTCGCTCTCTCACACCCAGACACACACACAGAGACTAACTCCATCTCTCTCTCCCACACAGGTACACACATGCAAACAGAGACTACCTCCATCCCTCTCTCTCACACAGACACACACACACAGAGAATGTCTCCATCCCTCTCTCACACAGACATACAAACAGAGAAACTACCTTCAACCCTCTCACCCACACAGAGAGACTACCTCCATCGCACTCACAGACGCACATATACACAGAGACTACCTCCAGCCCACTCTGTCACACAGACAGACATGCAGAGAGACTACCTCCATCCACCTCTCTCACACAGACACAAGCACAGAGATACGACCTCCATTCCTCTCTCCTACACAGACATACACAGAGAGGCTACCTCCATCTGTCTGTTTTACACAGAAACACACACACAGAGACAACTTCCACCGATCTCTTTCACACAGGCACACAGACACACAGACACAACTTCCACCGATCTCTTTCACACAGGCACACAGACACAGATACACACACACAGAGAGACGACCTCAATCCCTCTCTCCCACACAGACACACACAGAGAGACTACCTCCATCCTTCTCTCACACAGACACACAGAGAGACGATCTCCATCCCACTCTCTCACACAGACACACACACAGAGACTACCTCCATCTCACTCTCTCACCCAGACACACAGAGAGACTACATCCATCCATCTCTCACACAGACACAGAAAGACTACCTCCATCCCTCTCTCTCACACAGACACAGAAAGACTACCTCCATCCCTCTCTCTCTCACACACACACACACACATAAACAGAGAAACTGCCTCCATGTCTGTCTCTCTCACCCAGACACATACACAACTACACAGACTACTTCCATCTTGCTCCCTCACCCAGACACACACACAGAGACTACCTCAATCTAACTCTCTCTCACGCAGACATGCACAGACACACACACACACACAAAGAAAGAGACTACCTCCATCTCTCTCTGTCTCACCCAGACACACGTGCACAAGAGAGACTACCTCCATCTCTGTCTCTCTCACCCAGACACACACACACAAACAGAGTGTTAAAAATGTCTACCAATCAACCTCCCTGTAATCCTGAGCTCATCCAAAATACTGCTCCCTTTTTCTTTTTCGCACCGAGTTTTGTCCACCCATCAGACCTCTGTGCTCACTGATCAGCACACGCTCCTGCTTAAAATGGATCAAAATTTTAAAACAGATACAGAAACCATGACAGAAACTCAGCTGGTCTGGCAGTATCTGTGGAGAGAAAACAGAGTTCATGTTTTAAGTCCACTGCCCCTTATGCAGAATTAATTTTAATTCAGATAGCCAGCATCCACAGTTCTTTGTTTTAGTTTTCCAAAGTTGTGAAATCTCATCCCTGATTTCTCATGAAGGGTCACTGCACTGAAAACGTTGATGCTGCTTTCTCTCCACAGATGCTGCCAGACCTGCTGAGTTTCTCCAGCAATTTATCTTCTTGTCTCTTTATCCTTTAACGGTTGTGATCGTCTTGAGCCCTGTGATGTCACACGTACTCAGCCACTGATTTCTCTCCCCATAAACTAGTCGAACTTGTGTCATGGTTCGGCAGCGATAGAAACCGCATTCAGAAACAGTCACCATAACTGACAATTAAGTGCAAAACCTCACAAGAAAACACGCAGAGCAAGACAGTAAGACAACTGTGATCAGGCAAAGATGAAACAGAACAATGAATGAACACACATTCAGATCCACAGTAAAGGAGCCACACCAACTCCAGAGACACGGAACCTCTCAGAGGTAGAGCAGCACAGAACTAAAATCGCAAAACCGTAGACCAATGGTCAGAATGACTTACCTCTGAAATGACCTCGTGTTTCAATTTGAAAATCTCCTGCTGGAACTTGCAACTGGAAAGGTATCAGAAGCACTGCAGAAAAATCTCACAATTGAGGAAATATTCAGTGAGCAGATGATCGCTCTGTGCAGCCTCCTTGAGCATCCTGTAAAAGAAGTTTACAAATTCAATCACTGTGGACCAGGGATAAACATTAGGAAACAAACATTTCTCTTGGTTTGACTTTCCTCTGTTTAAAATCACCCTTTCAAACTCACTGGGAAAGGAGTTTTAAAAATCCATCACTGTTAGTACCGGATTGAGATTCACATCATCGCCTCCTCCTGGTACAGGATGATCGTGCATGCTGTCTGCTGCACGTGACCAGCAATGCTGAGGGGCAATCTGTCAATTCAAGGATGATGTCTCCTCAGTCGTGAGTTTCTGTTCTCCTTCTGACTGAAGACAGCCTTTGGATTCAGGAGGCAGAATATTCCATGAAGTCATGGGACGCAAACAGCAACATCTGCTTCCTTTCTTTGCATCTGTGCCTCCGCTCTGCCTCATCAATAACAGGCTGGGTGTGAAAGGCAAAGAGAGCTTCATAGATGAGTTAGCTCCATTCTGAACACAAGGTAGCAACCGCCTTCCAATCTTTATATTAATATTTGAGAAGTGACCTCAGAGACGTATAACTTTCAAAAAGGACTGGACATTGTTGATGGAGGTAGGATCTTCCTGATGGTGGTGCAGTCCAAAAGCAAAGGTCAAAATCTAAGAATACAGGCTAAACTGTTTAGGACTGAAATGAGCAGAAATGTCTTCACCCAAGGTGGTAAGCCGGTGGAACTCATGCTCACAGAAAGCAGTCAAGGCCAGGACATTGCTTTCAACAAGAGGTTTGCGGGAAGCAAACAACTGTTGACTCTTCCAAACAAACCAAAGAGAATGACACAGTCTCTGCTCACCAACATTCTGTTAAATGCAGTTATCAATGTTGTTATACATTTTTACTCTGTGATGGAATATGAAGAATCAGTGTGTGAAGGGATATTTTCAGCCAGTAAAATGAAACTGCAATGGTTTGGGAAATAAGCTGCCATTGTCGGGAAATCTTTCTGGACCAGGGTGTAATAGAGTGAAGCTCATAGGTAAAGTCAAATATTTCCTTAACTTAAATAAGAAATTTGTGCATGTCGGTTCAACGGTCCCTGTCTACAGGATTCATTGCGACAATCATTTCACTCATGACGATTTCCCAATTGTCGACAACTCTCTCTTTTCAAGTGTTTTCCACTTCCTTGCAGGAAGCAATAGAATGACTGGTTCACAAATGCAGAGTAAAAGCAATAGCTTGCAAGAACTTGTGGGGGTAAGTAAATTGTCTTTCTTCTGGCTTCAGTTCACTTTCACTATAGAAGAAAGGACTCAACCTCACTTTCCAGAGGTCCGATGACTTCAGGCGAAAATCTTTCACACTGAAAAGCTGTTCAGCTACCTGGGAGCCAAACACAGTTGTTGGCAGCAGGAAGGCCTTTATCATTGAAAACAGTTCACCACTCCACACATGAGTCAGCTACTTGTTGCATCTCCTGCACACCCCACGTTGCCACTTGGTCTGAAACAAACACCACAGCCCTAACCTCCAAAGTTCAAACTGGGCCTGTTCTGGAGTACTGTTTGCAGTTCTGGTCACCCTGTGGCAGGAAGGACGTTATTAAATTGGAGACGTCTCAGAAAACATATACCAGGATGTTGCTGAGAATGACGAGCTTGAGTTATTAAAATAGGCTGGAGAGGCTGGGAGTTTTTGCACTGCAGCATTGGACATTGAGGGGTCACCTTAAAGAGGTTTGTAAAATCTGAGGGGCCGAGATAAAGTGAATAGCAATGGTCTTTTCCCAAGGGTAAGGGGGGTAAAAAACCATGGGGCATATTTTTCAGTTGAGGGTAGTGAGCTTTAAAAAGGACGTGGAAGCAACTTCTTCTTTTTCACAGAGAGTGATTCATGTGCAATGAACTGACAGAGGAAATTGTGGATGCAGGTACAGTTACAACATTGAAAAGACATTCGGATAAGTACATACAGGGGAAGCAATGGCCTCGTGGTATTATAGCTGGAATGTCAAATCCAGAAACCCAGATAATGGTCTGGGGAACTGCCTTCGAATCTTGCAAATGGCAGGTGGTGGAATTTGAATTCAATAAATAGCTGGAATTAAGAGCCTGACGACGACCATGAATCCATTGCTGATTGTCGGAAAAACCCATCCAATGTCAGTAAATGCTGACCTAGGCAGCCACACCCTCATGCCTTGAACGAATAAAAGAACATGAATGGGGGACTGCTGGGAAGATAAAATCATGTATTCTGGCAGTGGGAAACCCGAAATACTACACATGTCATGTCACCCACCCACGCTCCTCCTCTAACAAAAAAAAAGACTGTGTGGAGGGTCATTAAGCACAACGATTTCCTCTGAGTCGGGAGAGAGTGCGAGTGCGAGGTGTAAAGGTAAGCGGTGAGTACAATAACTCACCTTAAGTGCTTCGGGGCCTTCATTTTTGGCGGCAGAGGAGGAGGAGACGGGGAGCGAGAGGACCCCTGGGAATTATAGTTTGGGCGAACGAGACAAACAGATGGTATGTTGCCTCCTGGGTGCCAGGGTCCATGACGTCTCGGATTCTTCAAGATTCTTAAGGGGGAGGGTGAGCAACCAACAGTCAGGGTCCACATCAGTACCAATGACATAGGCAGAAAAAGGGCTGAGAATGTGAAAAACAAGTACAGGGAGTTAGGTTGGAAGCTCAAGTCCAGGACAAACAAATTAGTTATCTCTGGATTACTACCAGCGCCACGTGATAATGAAGTAAGAAATAGGGAGAGACTGCAGCGAAACACGTGGCTACAGGGCTGGAGAGAGGGCTTCCACTATGTAGATAATTGGAGCACATACTGGGAAGGTGGGACCTGTACGGTAAGGACGGGTTGCACCTGAACCGGAAAGGCACAAATATCCTGGGACGGAGGTGTGCTCGAGCTATTCGGGATGGTTTAAACGAGATCAGCAGGGGTTGGGAAACCGAATTTGGAATTCAGAGGATGAGGTATTCAGCCTTCCAACAGACACAACAGTGAGTGAGGTTGTTAAGAAAGAAATGCGATCTATGGAGTGTAATTGTGGACACAGCGATGGTTTGAAGTGTGTATACTTCAATGCTAGAAGTATCAGAAATAAGGCGGATGAACTTAGAGCATTGGTCAGTACTTGGAACTACGATGTTTTGGCCATTACAGAAACTTGGGTAACTCAGGGACAGGAACAGTTGTTGGAAGTTCCGGGATTTAGATGCTTTAAAAGAAAAGGGAGGGTGGTAAAAGAGGTGGGGGGTGGTATTGCTAGTCAGGGCTCGTACAGAAGCTACTGAAAGGCAGTTCGAGAATGATACGTCTACAGAGTCAGTTTGGGTTGAGGTCAGGAATAAGAAGGGAGCAGTCACTTTGTTGGGGGTTTTTTTTACAGACCCCCTAATAGTTGCAGCGAAGTGGAGGAGCAGATTGGGAGGCAGATACTGGCAAGGTGCCGAAGTCACAGGGTTGTAGTCATGGGTGACTTCAACTTTCCAAATATTGATTAGAAACTTTTTAGTTGTCATAGTTTAGATGGAGCGGATTTTGTCCATTGCATTCCGGAAGGATTCCTGACACAGTACGTAGATAGAACAACACGAGGAGAAGCCACTTTGGATTTGGTGCTTGGCAATGAACTGGGCCAAGTGTCAGACGTGTTGGTCGGAGAGAATTTTGGCGGTAGCGATCATAACTCTGTTACTCTTACAATAGTCATGGAAAAGGGTAGGTACAACAGCAGGGTAAGGTTTATAAATGGGGGAAAGGTAATTATAATTCTGTTAGGCAAGAAGTGGGTAACAGAAAATGGGAACAGGTGCTGTCAGGGAAGAGCACTGTGGAAATGTGCAGATTGCTCAAGGAATGCATACTGCGTGTGCTCGATACGTCTGTCCCTAGCAGGCAGGGAAGATGCGGTCAAGTGAGGGAGCCTTCATTCTCGAGACAGGTCGAACGACTAGTTAAGAGGAAGAAGGATGCTTACATAATGTTCAGGAAACAAGGATCGGAAAAGGCTCCAGAAGGATACAAGTTAGCCAGGAAGGAGCTGAAGAAAGGGCTTAGGAGAGCTATAAAGGGGGTTGAGAAAACCTTGGCAGATGGGATCAAGGAAAACCCCAAGGTTTTTTACACGTATGTGAGGAATAAGAGAATGACCAGAGAAAGGGTAGGGCCGGTTTGGGATTGCAAAGGGAATTTGTGTTCGGAGCCTAAAGATATAGGAAAGGTCCTTAATGAATAGTTTTCTTCGGGATTCACAACTGAGAGGGACATAGTTGTAGGGGAGGACAGTGTGAAACAGGCTGGTAGGCTGGAGGAGGTGGATGTTAGTAAGGAAGATGTACTAGGAATTTTGAGAAACTTGAAGACAAATAAGTCCACCGGGCCTGATGGCATTTATCCAAGGGTTCGATGGGAAGCAAGGGAAGAGATCGCAGGGCGTTTCGTGATGATCGTTTCGTCCTCACTGAACATGGGCATAGTGCCGGAAGAGTGGAGAATGGCAAACGTCATTCCCTTGTTCAAAAAAGGGAATAGGGATAACCCTGGAAATTACAGGCCAGTTAGTCTTACTTCAGTGGTGGGCAAATTATTGAAAAGGGCTGAGAGATAGGATTTATGATCACTTGGACAGTTTGATTCGTGATAGTCACCATGGATTTATGAGGGGTAGATCATGCCTCGCAAACCTTATTCAATTCTTTGAAGTGGTGACCAAACACGTGGATGAAGGTAGAGCAGTGGATGTGGTGTATGTAGATTCAAGTGAAGCGTTTGACAAGATTCCCCATGGCAGGCTCATGCAGAAACTAAGGAGGCATGGGATAGTGGGAAATGTGGCAGATTGGATTCAGAATTGGCTGACCCTGAGAAGACAAAGGGTGGTAGTGGACGGAAAATATTCAACATGATGCTCAGTTATGAGTGGTGTACCACAAGGATCTGTTCTGGGTCCTCTTCTATTTGTGATTTTTGTAAATGATTTGGATGTAGGAGTGGAAGGGTCCATTCGTAAGTTCGTGGATGATACGAAGGTGGGTCGAGTTGTGGACAGTGCGGAGAGCTGTTCTCGGTTACAAAGGGACCTTGACAGGATGCAGAGCTGGGCTGAGAATTGGCAGAAGGAGTTTAACCCTGACAAGTGAGAGGTGATTCATTTTGGAAGGACAAACTGGAAAGCAGAATACAGGGTTAATGGAAAGATTCTTGGCAGTGTGGAGAAGCATAGGGATCTCGGGGTTTGTGTCCACAGTTCCCTGAAAGGCGACACCCAGTTGGATAGATTTAAGAAGGCATATGGTGTGTTAGCTTTCATTAATAGAGGGATTGAGTACAAGAGCCGTGAAGTTATGCTCCCATCTGGAGTAGTGTGTCCAGTTCTGGTTGCCTCATTACAGGAAACATGCGGAAGCGTTGGAAAAGGTGCAAAGGAGATTTACCAGGATGTTGCCTGGAAGGGAGGGAAGGTCTTAGAAGGAAAGGTTGAGAGAGCTCGGGCTTTTCTCTTTCTAACGACAAAGGATGAGAGGTGACTTGATAGAGGTGTACAAAATGATCAGAGATACAGGTAGAGTGGACAGCCAGAGACTTCTTCCTCGAGTGGAGGGAGCTATTATGAGAGGGCATAGTTTTGAAGTGAATGGACGTAGATTTCGGGGAGACGTCAGAAGTAGGCTCTTTACTCAGAGAGTGTTAGGGGCGTGGAATGCATTGCCGGAAAGGGTAGTGGAGTTGGCCTCACTAGGGGCATTTAAGCGGCTATTAGATAGGCATATGGATGATACTATAAGGCAGGAGTGCAGGTGAGATAGACCTTAGGTTGAGGGTAAACGTTCGGCACAATATGGGCCGAAAGACCTGGAGTGTGCAGTACTGATCCATGTTCTGTGTTCTAAAAGGTTTAGAGGGATGTGGGCCAAACAGAGGCAAGTGGGACCGGTTTAATTGGGAACAGGGTTGACATAGACTAATTGGGCTGAGGACTCTGTTTCCATGCTCTGTGAAAGTGGTCCAAGAATATGGGGGGAAACGGATCATGAGCCCTGACAGTAATGACGAGTGCAGCAGACTGGAAAGGCCGAACGGTCTCCTCCTGCTGCAGTTTTCTGTTTTTGTTGCAAAAATTGGGACTGCAAAGCCCGGCGGAGGAAAAAGGATGTTGAGAAAACATCTCCTCACCTCCAGCTGCACGTGACGGCACCCCTCACTCAAAACGTTCCCAGAAAATCAAAACGACGTTCATGAGCGAGGTCAGCGGTACGCGTGCGCCAATTTCTCTGCCCCAAACTCACTTCCGCACCTGCGTATTGCAAAGCCCTGAACAGAAGGAACATTTTCTAGCGCAGTGACTGCCGGGTAGACCAGGCGACATTGACATCAGTACATTCTGAATGCAACTGCGACGTGGAAGTTCAGCGTGAGAAGAGTGTGTTTGGGTGTTTGAGTGAGGAAAAGGCGGTGTCGGGGTGGTTGAGCGGGGCAAAGGCGGCGTCGGGGTGTTTGAGCGGGGCAAAGGCGGGGTTGGGGTGTTTGAGCGGGGCAAGAGTGGGTCGGGGTGTTTGAGCGGGGCCTGGGCTCAAGCCAATTTGTTTACAAAACAGGACAGCTGCTGGATACCAGGAGAAAATAATAAGGTCCAATGGAATACTATGTATGCTAATCAGAATCAACACAATCTCTGCTGACAAAATAAATCATGCAGAAAATGCACATATTTCTCAGAAAAATAATAAATTTGATTTGAAGCATGATCAAGCATAAACTGGCAGCGAACAAGGATATTCTGTTCGTGTGACGTGTGACTTACGCACAAGAAAACACACACTTCAGTACCGAAAACATACAACAAGTTTAACCTTTTTTTTAGATTTATTCAACTTACTCCTTCCGGTCCCAATGTTGTGAAAGGCATTCCACTTCTACACAGTTACAGTCAGCACACCACAAATTCTACTTCCTTCATATCGTTTTCTCATAAGAGCCTTAAATTGTATTTTAAAACTTTTCCACTGCTAAACAATCTCAAATCATTTCACTCAGTGCAGTTTGAGAATTTCAGTTTGGATTATTCCGTAAACAAATACAGTCCTCAATGAGTCAATAACTGAGTCGACTTGCTAACAAACACAAACAGTTTCCAAAACTTAATGAACATTTTCTTCACAGAAATAATGGATTCTTCAGTTACCAAAACATGAAATATTTTACATGGTTTTAAAATATTGCCAGAAACTGGAATCTAAATGAGCAATTCAATTTCCCCAATAGGAATGTAAGAATGATGCAAAGTTCAGGATAGTTTTTAAATTGGCCATGGTCTAACAGACTTAAATAGAATGCAACCAGTAAATCAAAGATAGAGCTAACGAACACTCATGCAAATCTGAAGATGTGGAAATTTCAGTGGATGAATCCTGCACGAAATGTACAGAATGGCAGAATACTGTTAAGCTACAGAAATATTTTGGATTATCTTAAATGTAGAGATAGACGACAGTGAATAATACAATTAAAATAGCATGTAATCCAAGACATCATAATCTCATCTCAGGGACTTAAAGAGTATAAGCCAAGGTTTAAAAGACATCCTGGACAGGCTGCTGCTCAAGAAGTGGAGTAGACAAAGAGATTGACTAGAATGAGAAAAGGATGGTCATTTCAAAACAATGTTACACTTGCTCAAAACCAGAAATAATAGAAATTGCTGGAAATATTCAGAAATCCTGGCATCAGTGTGGGTACAGAGTTAATACTTCATGTCAATCACCTTTTGTGAGATTCTTTGGAACTTGGAGATCATCACATGGTAAGAGATGGTAGAAGATCCTCCTCCCATACTTCATGAAACATCTAAATGTGGAAAATTCCCCTCAGCACTCCTCTCATCAAACATGAATACGAACCTGTTAAAAACAGCTTGATTAAATGGGAGGTTGATTGTCCTATCTCTGTTTGTATGGGAAAAGGACTTAACGAGACAGGCATAAAGAAAATTATTGACCATCTGTACAGCAGAGTAGCGTTGGAAGAATTTAACTCATTTCCGTGATGCATGGATCTTTACATACAGCCTCAACTCCTTCTGCATTTCTGCAGTGATTTGAAGAAACAGCAGTTACTGTGAAAGTTTAATAGTCTGTGATTGTACTTGGTATGATTGAAGCCAATAGATGCTACGTCTGAGCATTACTGTTGCATCTTCATGCACTGACATTCTTGCTTTCCATGTTGATTCTTTCAAAATTCTCTTCAACTGTGAACGTTCACTCCAAAAAACATTTAACTTATGTGCCAAGAATCTCTGAACAACTGTTAACTTTCAATGAAGTCTTCAGATTTTTGTTCCAACAGGGAGGATATCTCCAAAACCTGTGCATTTGCCTGGACAGGATACAAGAATAAAAAAATGACCCAACAGACAATCACTTCATTATCAACATGCAACCTCCTTTTCAATTGCTGCTTTTACACTAGAGTTAAATTAAATCATCCACTTGACGTTCATGGAAAAAGCTACAAGCCTTTGAAAATCGTTTTGACCTGATACCCACCAAAAATGCTAACTTGTCTCTACTAATCAATGAGTGCATTTTCGGCTTTTTGTCCCAAAGAAAGTTTGCTGACCTAACCAAGTCTCGCTAACAAGAAGACCGCCTCCAGCATCCAGGCCTTGGTAAGTTCCTTTGGAGGATACCAGTCACTGCACAAGGCAATTTGTGAGGATCCAGCAGCACAGGCACAGATCTCGCGTCCAATGTAAAAACTTTGTGTTATTTCACAGTCAGTGTGTCAGCACATCTTTCGGAGACATGATCACAATATAATCACTGCAACATAGCATGTATCCTGAGGATATAAGGATCATTTATGCATCTTTCCCAGGATCACCTGAAGCATGAACGATTGGAAGCATGTTGCTCTGTGTATCTTCATAACTGAATGTTAGCTCAGACACATAATGTGCCTGTGAATCTAGTTAAGTGTTGTGAATGCCTGTTTGATTTTTCAATACCAGAACATCCTAACATTTTCAGTCTTGATGTCCAGCAGTGTGGATCATTGGCCCTTAAGACAGGTTGCTCAATCAAATAAATGCTTTCCAGTTGCCTGTAATCTTTTTCCCCAGAGCTGGTAATGACAGCTGTCATGCTTAGCAAATCCAGATAATAATACAGTATTTCCAACAACTCCCTATGATCTGTCCCCAGGAGATCTACTAATTACTTATAACTGGATAGGGAAATAAAAAGAAGTTCTCAAATTAATTCAAAATTACCAACAAGTATTTTGCTCTGAAAAAGAAAGGTCTCTTGACTGTTCTACCGCAAAGAAATGGCTGTACATTTTTAAAGAAGCAAGTCATTGAAACTCTGCTGTGGTCACACTGCTGCTTTGACCAAGCTTGAAGGAAGAGGTACAGATTCCCGGGACTGTGTACAATGTGAGCTTTGACTGGCAATAGGTTGTTGATTGGTTTGTGAAATTATGATCAGTTATGGATGCCAAAGGCCATCAACCTGACAACTATTTGACTGGCTCTTGGGGAGCTGAACAGCTTGTTGATATGAGAGAACAAACCAGGATCCAGAGCTGGATTTCTCAAATCTTCACCAAAAACCGTGTGATATCCTCAAATTGGTTGGAGCCTCATTTGAAAAATCCAAGACATTTTATAAGTATATTAGGGAGTTTAACTGGGTCATTCCACCAGATGGGCAGAATAGAGTTTAAACCTGAAAAGTGTAACGTAATGCATCTTGGGAGGAGCAACAAGGCAAGGAAATATGTGATGAATGATAAGACACTAGGATGCAAAGAGAGTCATTTAACACATAAGTTAAATGTGTTAAAGCTTCAGTCAGTTAGAAGGTTTTAATTGATTAATATCTATGTGTAAATCACCGAATTCCTTTCATGTACCTGTCTTGTGAGAAGTAAAGGTTTTATCAGTGTAAAGAAGAGGTGACATTTTAGGTCAAACAATACGTGTTAGGTGTGACGCCTTGTTTAGTTTCTGTTTGTGTCTTGGTTTGGTGTTAGACTGGTTTTATGATGAAAGTAGGAATTTATACATTGACTGACTGACGATCTAAAAATTGTGTGCTTTTTGAACAAAATAGAATGTATCTGCAAGTACAAATTCACCCCACTGATTCACATATATATGTGTGTGTGTGTCAAGAGACTGAATGTGTGTGTGTCTGTGTGTCAAGAACATTCGGCTTCAGATCTTTGGGTAACCAAGAAATCAGCCAAATTGGGTCTGAACTCTTATTCACTGAAAGTCGACATTCACTGGCCAGCATACATGTTAGGATTCCTACAGGAAAGGAAAGGATACTCCATTTCAATGGTAAATTTGAGCCCTGGGTGCAGATCTTAGACCTATATAAGAAATTCTTTAATGTCGATTCAAATATTGCAAACATATTGTCGACCTGTTGTAAATATGCAAGGGGTCAGAGGCTAGTTACTACGCCATCACTGAAGTGTTTTGCATGGTTATCAACCGAGATATTGGCAAGAGTTTGACCAAAACATATCCCATGTTAAGACCAATTGCTTGGACATACATGGTGTTATTGGAATGAAGTCAACTGCAGAAGTTGCGAAGTTAATGAGCTTAATGAACACCGAATCAGGCACAGGTGGTACGTTTAGATTTCAATGGCATATTTGAATGGGTACACTGATAAATAAGCTGCCAATCTTGAAACAGCACATGGGCATGCTCTTGCTCTCAATATGTAGCTCTTAGATGGTCGTAGTGAACGTGAAGGAATCCTTCACAGTGTCTGTGGAAAACTCATGTGGACACAATTGCAACAGTTTCACACAGCCATTTGGCCAATTTACACTGTGCAGAGTCAGTCATGGATATGATGCGACATAAAAGGAACTTGACTTTTGTGTGGTCTAGGGTAACCTATACATGGTGGGTGCAGTGATCCGTGACAACAAATTCTATCATATATGTAAAAACCGACAGAACTGCGGATGCTGTAAATCAGGAACAAAAACAGAAGTCGCTGGAAAAGCTGAGCAGGTCTGGCAGCATCTGTGATGAAAAAAATCAGAGTTAATGTTTCGGGTCCGGTGAACCTTCCTCAGAACTGTGGCTAGCTACCAACAGTTGTGAGGACAGGTCACCAGACCTGAAACATTAGCTCTGATATTTTTTCTTCGCAGATGCTGCCAGACCTGCAGAGTTTTTGTAATGACTTCTGTTTTTGTTCTATCACATACATCATTCAGCAGGTTACCACCTTTACACAAGT